AAACGCTAAAGTAACAAACTTCTGCCTTTCCTAATAATCTAGAAAGTCCCCGGCAACGGCGCAAAAAACTTGACACGCTAAAACACAACACCTAACAATGGCCAAGTGTAACCAATGAAAGGGACTGCAGTATAGTGGCACAAGTAATAAATATCGAATCCACGGGTCTCTAGAGTTACTATTACTCAGCTTCAGTTCATTATCTAGCAAACTAGATTAAGGATTGATTTACTAAACTACTCTACTAACTACTCTACTAATTACAAGTTGGGAACTCACTTAGGTATGATTCCCCCTAGCTCCTCAATTAGGTCCAAGTTGCAATTACCTTTGGTTGATCTACTGTTGATTAAACTGCGGAAGATTCTAAATTAGCTTGGAATCTCTTAAGCTGACCAAGCCCTCTCAGACAGAATACCCGGCAGGTGACTAGCCTTCACCGGGATAGACTGCTAAGGCGATTCACACAGATCTCCACTACTGGAATGAGTTCCAGTACAAAGCAGTGAATTGATTGACTCTCGCACAACCAATTCACTACTATCAATCAAGGAAGCTCTCTTAACCTAATCAGATTCTATCTATCATAGGGTAAAGCAGAAATCAAGAGAATTTGATCAAGATCCAATTGACTCAATAAATCATGCCTCAATCGATTATAATCAAACAGTATAGCATCCAAAACTTCATACAAGAAAGATCCTAACTCATGGAACTAGGGTTCCTCAAAACCTAAGTGAAGGGAAGTTACTCCATAGAGAAGAGAGAGACTGCAGAAATCTGATCTAGATCTTCAATCTCCATCTCCAAGCTTGATTCCCGAGCTCCAATGGCGAAGAAATCCTCCAAAATAGCTCCAAGAATGTTTCCAAGTCGCTCTCTCTCTCTAGGGTTCGTCCCTTGGGTGTTTGGGATCCAAAACCCAGCTCTCCTCCCTTCCTTTCGCTGAAAATCGGGTTTTAAACAACAATTCCCGACTCGCACGGCCAGGGTGCACGGCCATGCACATCACCATTCTGGCCGTGCACCTCAAAACGCGCCGTTTCATTAAGTCGAACCTCAACCAACTCGCACGGCCAGGATTGCACCTTGCACGGCCGTGCGGATTTCACTTGTGCCCGTGCGTGCCCACGCACCAACCCGCACGGCCAAAATTGTATGTTGCACGGCCGTGCATGGCCACGCACAATCCCGTGCGTGCGCACGCACAATCCCGCACGGCCAAACTGGTCACTTGCACGGCCGTGCGTGGCCACGCACAATCCCGTGCGTGCCCACGCACAATCCCGCACGGCCAGAATTATATGTTGCACGGCCGTGCGCCTCCCTGGTCTGCCCGTGCAGCTTGCTCAGCCTCTGTTTAATGCTTCGTTTCTCCCTCGTCCGGACTCCGAATCAGTCGCCGTTTGATCCCACACGCTCGTAGTCTCGTCCTCTTTCGTTTCATAACAAGCTTGCATGATTCTCTATCCATAAAGTGAGGTAGAAATCAATTCTTCTTCAGGTCATGCCCGAGTGTCTTCTCCCAAATCGTCAATTGATCTCTGATTGACTTGAAACTTGCGCCTATGCTTCACTTTATGTGCTAGGACCTGAAATGTGACAAAGGAACACAACCTAGCGTAAAATCGGTCAAAGACACGGTAATTCAAGCTCAAACAATCAAGAAACAAAAGGGGAAAACATGTGCAAATACCGAGTCATCAGGGGTCATGCATGATCTCGTCCAAGGGGGTTCTCGTCCAAGGGGGTGAAGCATGACATCATCCCAGGGGGGTCAAGTATGATGTCATGCCAAAGGAGTCATCGTGCTAGACATGATGGGAAAGAAGGCCAAAATTTGGCTAAGTGTTGAGACCCACAACACAAGGGGGGGGGGGTCATGCATGACACCGTCCAAGGGGGTCAAGCACAAGGAGGGCTTGGTACCAAAACATTGAATTTGGCTAAGTATAGAGCCAAAGGGGTATCAAGCCGAAAAGGCATGCTTGATACTAAAATACATGAAAATTGGTTAAGTATGGAATCACATGGCCATAGCAAGAGGGTACCAAGCCGGCAAGGCATGGCTTGGTACCAAGACATGAAAAGCATGAATTTGGCTAAGTATGAAGCCAACGGGGTCGGCAAGACAGGCTTGGCAGCCAAGCAAAGCGACAGGGCACCATGACCCCAAGGGGGTATCAAGCCGGTAAGACTGACTTGGTGGCCAGGCAACAGGGGGCCAAGACGGACTTGATAGCCATACATCAGGGTATCAAGCCAACAAGACAAGAAATTCGACTAAGGCATGGTGGCTAGCTGAGGTGGCCACCCGACTAGGTACCAAACAACCATGTATGGCCCTTATGGGGCCATATGGAGACAAAGTCCCAAGGCCGACTTGGTAGCACCCTAACGGGGTACCAAGCCGGCAGGGTGTAACTTATCAACTTGATGAGGCTGCAAAGACTAAGTATGGAGACCAAACCCCCAGGATTGGTGTCATGAGATGGTAGCGGTCTCAAGACGACAAGAGTGGGGAGTCATCAAGCAACCGGGGGTGCGATCAAGACTTCATCATGGAGGCTAAGCAAAGAACCTCAACCCCATCCAATCATGACAGGGCGACGAGACGAGACCCCCAAGGCGACGGTTACCAACTAGTCACCAAGGCAGCGACAAGCGGCCCCTAAGGCGGTTGGAGCAAAAGGCCAGCTAGCAGTTACTACGGCGGTTACCAAGGCAGTTACACCCAGTGGCTATAAATAGGAGAAACAAAGACGGGAAAAAGGGTTCCACAACCAATCATTTGACACACTATGTCAAAATTTATCTTTTCTCTGCAACTTGCCTTTAGTTTTTCGGAGCTCTCACTGAACCTCCATAGGAGTAGAGTAACGTAGCTTGTTCCCAAAAAACCATCAAAAACATCAAACACCCTCGTTCGAACATTGTTCGGAGAGGAGTGAACCGTGTAATTAATCGTTGTTCGAGAAGTCAAAGGTGCATTGATTGTGTTCAAACACCAGTTTTTCCTCGCCGGAAAACAGTCCGGCTGATAATCACATAATACAAAATTATTGACCTCTAAATATTCTGTTCTTTAGGTTACTGTACCCAAAAGATATTAATTATTAAGTATTCCAAAATATCTCCTTTCCATCGTGTCGACAATATGTTTCTAAATGTTTTTGGTTTATTATTATATTTATTGGTCCTACTCCTAACAAAACACGCTAGTTTATCATTGATGGAGATGAAAATAATAATTAAGTTGTCTGACTATACTAATGCTGCCACGTAATTTCCTCACCCTTGGTGTTGATGAGATGATATTATATTTTAATTCTTATAGATTCGTACATGATATGTTTCATTAATACTTTCTAAAAAAAAATACTTTGCTAATTATTGGTAAAGATGACATTGCTTTACTTTAGATGGTATGTTTACAGGAGAGGCTTCTGACTAGCTAGCCTGATACTATCGTTTCATTTGGTTTAAAAATTCATAACGAATTTGACATTACATATAAACGTTAATGTGTTGATAGAATGGTTGAAATCACTTAAATTGTGATATGACAGTGTTAGAGTTTGAGCAAACATCCTCTAATTGTGTAATGACCGAAACCTACCATGCTTATCATCAAAATTTTCTTTTTTGGCAGAGCTTATAATCATATTCAAATTCAATTAATATATATTAACGAAATAATATTAATTCCTTTCCCATAATGATAATGGAGATAGGCAGAGTAATGCCAGTCTCTCCTTTGCCAAACCCCATAATTTAGTACACCAATTATGGTAGGTATATATAAATTTTTCAATGTTTTTAAAAGGGGAACCAAAATATATATTTCAAAAGACAAGACAAGAGCAAATGGGTTGTGTTTTCTTTTGAATCAAACTTCATTTAATTCAAAATTGTTTTAGCCATGAACAGTTGCACATGCTCAAGATGGCAAGATCATTGGAGAAATACATCAAGATATATATGCATGCCAGAAGATCAAATTATATCCAAAAATATCTTGCATTATTTTTGTTTTCTCTTATTTCCCATTTTGGCCTCTTTCCCTCCCAAATTCATTTATTTATGGGAACATATGTTCCTTGCTAGTCCCTACATTCCTTTTTTTTTCAATTAAGGAGCCAAATATGTTGCTACAATTAATCTCAAACATGCATTGGATCCTTTGTCAAGTTTTGAACAGATGGTATGGTATGTATATTTTGAAGTATTCTCCAACCACCATTGTTTTTCCCATGCCAAGATCATGACCTCTTCTACTTTTCCTTGTCAAACCTTATATGATAACAACATCATTTCCTCCTTTCAAAAACATTATCATCATTTAATAATAATTCAGTTGCTATAAGCACTTTGAACATGATTAGGCTGCAAATAAAAACATTTTATATGAACTATAAAGTCATACAAGCATTTGTATTTTGTATATATACTAAGGTCAATATATATCACTCACTCGTTAGAATGACGTGCAAACATAGTGAGAAAGTTTGAATCAACCAACCCAGATCCAATTTTACCGCTTACAAAAGTGATAAGACATTCATCTTAAACTTGTAAGCTACAGCCTATTATGATTTCGTCACTAATGGCTCGTTAACTTAAGACCTAGCCTAAAATCGTCTAATTCAATTTGTCTATTAAAACATAAAATGATAAGACATTTATCTTGACATATTCTACATATCATAATTCAGCCGAAAAAGGAACAAACTACCTTAGTTGACCTCCCCACCCCATTCATACACATGTACTAGAAAGTAGAAAACACAGCCTAAAGAACAAAGAAAAACCTAAAACCCACAAGTAGAATTCGAAATTTCCCTTATATGGTAAGCCGTCGTGCTGTTACTGTTAGGTCCTAAGTACTAGTCGTAAGTAGCGGTGTACCGAAATCCGTGTGGGTGGGGCGGATATTATCCCCATCACCTTCGTATAAATAGAGAAAGAAGAGAGACTCTGGCGATTGAAACAGGAGGCAAAGCTATTTTTCTCCCATTTCCAGCCTTTTTTTTACCGAAAATCCCAGCTGGGCATCGAGTGAATAGTTACAATCCGACACCACAGTGAAAAAAGTTCCGATCTTTGGCGTTTCTTACTGCTTTTGGAGGGGACGAAAAAGGGAAGGTGTATCGCTCTAGCCTCTATGTAGGAACAAAGGATGAGAGCTTTATCCATTTCCATCTAGCTAAGGTAGCTACTTAGTTTTACCCCTGAACCTTCTCCTGTTTATCTCGTGCGCAACTCTCTCTCGGTAAATTCTAGATATGGGTTTTCGATGATCTGTGCTTTCTTGTTCTCACCTCCCTCGAATTCTCAGTTGCCAATTCTGTGCCCAGAGCTCCCTTCTGCTGCTTCCTCTGTTTTCTTTTGTGTGTGGGTATGGGTTTTATGCTTCAAGGTGTGATTACGATTACATTTGCTTCTTGTTCTCTTTCTTAATGTTTATGCAAAATGGGAATTGATGAGGAGAATAAAAAGATGTCATCATCTTTATATCTGTCGTCTACATCCTTTTTCTGCTTCCCTTTCCATCTACCCTTCTGGTTCTTGTTTGGTGGCTGAGAAGAAAGGGGGGGAAAAGGTTTAACAGGAAGGAAATGAAACCAGGAGGCTTTTTCTGTGGTCTACAACTCTACATACCTTTTGCTTCATTTCTCGCTTCTGGGTTTTGTTTGGTTGCGGAGAAATAGAAGCAAAGTTAAAAAACCTTTTCCTCCATCCTCCTTCCTTCCCTCCATTTTCTTCCTAGGACCAACTTGCATATAGATTAGAGAAGAAAATGGCAATTCAACTTGAGGACCCACTTGTGCTTGTTGCTTTGATTAATCAGTTTCAGCTTGCCATACCTCTCTCTCTCTCTCTCAGCAACCAAACAAACCCCAGAAAGTGGAAACTGCTAACTAGGAAAATGGCAAGAGTCTTCATCCCTGGTTGTTGAGGTTAAAGACCCTAATAAACCTTGTTTCTTCTTTTATTAATTTCTCTCTTGTCATTACCTCATTCGGTTGCTCCCAAAACATTCTGGATTGCACCATTGGGAAATTTCTACTCTTTGAATATTCGATCTATGATCTATAGTACGAGCACTAGACTTGGTGGGTATGTCACAAGATTTTTCAGACTCATATATAAAAACTCTTAGATCCTCACCTTTCTGACTCATTGGGAATCTTCTGACGCAAATGAAGTTGTGTGCTTTTATATTAGGTGTATAAAAGGAGACACCATACACATTCTTCGTCGGCAGTTCAATTTCTCTCGAAATGGGGCATCTTTCTGCAATGTTCAAGCTTGCAAGGTCTCTATCTATGAAGAAAAGCAAGAACTTTTGTGGGGATGGAGATAATGTTGGTGGTGGTGGTGGTGGTGGTAGAGAAGCAGCTAAGGCAATGGAGAAAGAAGCAAAGAAGAATGAGTTGATTTTGAGATCTTCTGGCTATATGAATGTTGCTGGTCCGAATAACTTGGCATCGTTGTTCTCGAAGAGGGGAGAGAAGGGTGTGAATCAGGATTGCTTCATCGTTTGGGAGGTTAGTAAAAAAAAAAAATTGTTTCTAAGAGTGCAGTATAAGATCTAGTTTTGAATCTTTTCATGTAATTCTGGAAATGTGTAGATTTGATTCTTTGGTTGCTGATATAAACTGTCATTTCTTGTTTTAGGAATTCGGTTGCCAAGAGGACATGACATTCTGCGGGATATTCGACGGGCATGGATCATGGGGACATTTTGTGGCCAAGAAAGTGAGGGAATCACTGCCATCACACCTGCTTTGCACCTGGCAAGAAGCCTTGGCTGCTGCTGAGTCCTCTTCAGACGATTATCTTCTCGACGAAATCGACTTGGGATCGGATAAAAATCTCCAGAGATTCAACATGTGGAAGCATTGTTACCTAAGGGCATGTGCTGCTGTGGATCACGAGCTGGAGCAGCATCGCAAGATTGATTCCTTTTACAGTGGCACCACTGCCTTGACCATCGTCAGACAGGCAAGTGAAATGGGTTTTTCTTTTTCATACTTCTGATAAAGCACCAAGTTTCTCATGAACGAATCGTCTATACATATCACATTGATCGCTGAAATCGAGACAATTAAAACTCCAAACTTAGTCCTACATCATGTTAGCATTTCATTTCCCAGTTTCATGGTATCTGAGATTATGTTCTTCTTGCTACAGGGAGAGTTGCTTTATGTAGCAAATGTTGGAGATTCAAGAGCTGTTTTGGCCACAACATCAGAAGATGGAAACTTGATGCCTGTTCAGCTAACCGTAGACTTCAAGCCCAGCCTACCTCGTTAGTTTTTTTTTTTTGCCTTCTCAACCTCTCCTTTCATATTTTGTACATATTATGAAAACACTTTTTCTGAAAAGCCGTTCTTTCCCTCATTTTGTGTGTTGCAGAAGAGGCAAAGAGGATAGTGGAATGCAAAGGCAGAGTGTTCTGCCTCGACGACGAGCCAGGGGTTCAAAGGGTATGGCTGCCGGACGAGGAATCGCCAGGGCTAGCAATGTCTCGAGCTTTCGGAGACCACTGCATCAAAGATTTCGGTCTAATCTCTGTGCCCGAAGTGACGCAGAGACGCATTTCTGGTAAAGATCAGTTCGTGATCATGGCGACGGATGGAGTGTGGGACGTGGTGTCGAACCAGGAAGCCGTGCAGATCGTATCGGCAGTGGCGGACCGGTCGAAGGCGGCCAAGTGTCTGGTGAAGGCGGCGATGAAGGCTTGGAGGCGGCGAAGGAGAGGGATTGCCATGGATGACATCTCTGCTGTGTGCTTGTTCTTGCATTCTCCCCCGCCACCTGCTTTTGCCACGAACATGGGTTGAGAAAAGTGGAAGGGGCGCTTTTGTTTTGTTCTGTTTGTAAATGGGCCACAAAATGGTGGTCGTTGCTTTCCCCGGTTCTCTTTTGAGCAAACTAGAGTTATTATGCAAGTGACTTTTTTTTTCTTTCCATATTAGGATTAGGGTTCCTGTTAATAGCTCCTCTAACCCGGGAATGGATAGGTCAGTAACCTTAGACTACCCACAGTGTGGGTTGATTTTGTGGGAAAAAGGGGAAATGTGATCACAATGTGGGGGGAATAGGGGATTAAATGGGTTTTGTGGGTTTAGTGGGTGGGAAAACCCACCAGATGAGACAAATGGTGGGGGGAAAGGGAAGGGGTGGGGCTCACTTCAGTTTGTTTTTATTTTATTTTATTATTATTTTAATGGTTTAGTGTTTGTTTTAGGGTTTAGTGTTTATTTGTTTGCTTTTATTTCTTCTTAATTATGTTTATGTTCAACTATCAATGTAACAACTTTCTTGTATAAATTATTGCGATTTCGTCATTAATGACGTTAATTAGTGATGAAAAAAATTATGTCCAAATTAGAAAAAAAATTATATCAAAATGTTCGTATTCATTAATTATCACTAACTATGTAAAAATAATGATCATTATATAAAAATAAAGTGTTGAAATCAACTATAAATTGATTTTACGAAAAAAAGTGTTCAACCAATTACCCCTTTTTCCCACACCAACATTGTGACCAAATCCTCTCATTTTCCCCCTTTTCCCTCTTTTCCCACCTTTCCCACCCTCCCACATTGTGGATGGTCTTATGGTGAGTAACCATGAGTAACCTGTCCACATCAGCATGACATCAGCATCCTCTCTCTCATGAAAAGCCTTTAATTTTTCCCTCTTTAATCTTTGGCGGACGATTTCTCGCTCATTTTAAGTCGAAATTTAATTTTTTTTGCACAGTTAGATCAGATTAATCGTGCTCTTCAAAATGATATCCACTTTAATATATTTTTCGAACAAAAAAAATTGAGCCATTTTTTACCAGCCTATACCATATGGTATTGACTGGTATTGAAATAAAAGCATACCTATGTTTTGAAAAACGTACCATGGTGGTATGAACAAACCAATACTGTATGATGATTGAATACATGATAGTAGAAGTATATTAATTGTAATTTATGACTTTTAACATTGTATACCACACAATACCACCCCGTACCAGGGTGGTATTGTATGGTATTGTGTGGTATTTTTTGGTCAGTAATTTGTTCACCCAGAAATTTGTAGATCCAATAGATCATGATGAACTCGTCCCTTCTGTGCAAACGTTTTCAAAAACGAATTAAAAACGAAGAAGATACCATACAATACCACCCCGTACCAGGGTGGTATTGTATGGTATTGTGTGGTATTTTTTGGTCCTGTAATTTGTTCACCCAGAAATTTGTAGATCCAGTAGATCATATGATGAACTCATCCTTGCTGTGCAAACGTTTTCAAAAACGAATTAGAAACGAAGAAGATACCATATGGTATGCAGTTGGTACTGAGAGGCCAGAATTTTTTTCCTAAAAAAATATTGAAAATTGATCTCATTTTGTAGAGCACGCTGAACTCGTTCCATCTGTGCAAAAAAAAATTAAAATCCGAGTTAAAACGAAAAAGATATGAGTCAATTAAGAAGGCTAGTGAAAATAAAAATAGCCTTTAATTCTCCATCCTTAGATCTGGATTTTCTAAATGAAGGGTCCAGATTTGGTTATTGATGGGTGGGTTATGCACCCTATCTTGAACCCTCTAACCCCCTTCCGTTTGTCGTAGAAAGAATCCTATCAGGATTAGAAAGAATCCTTTCCCCTTTTATAGCTCTAATTTTAAACCCCTCCCTTCTCTTCTTTGGCATTTACCGCAGGTGTTGATAGGAAAATTTTTAACTCCAATTTTGATTGAACGTAAAAGCTCCAACCAGCCATATGGCAGTTTGTTATTGGTGGTCTCATTTTTTTTCTTAATATTTAATGTTCTTAATTATACTTAAAAAATCAAGTATTAAAATATAAGAAAGAAATTTAATACTAAAGAAATATGACCTCACTATTAAAAAACTGACGTGTGACAAGGTTGGAGCTAAGAATTTTCCATGTTGATAAGCGCGGACCCATGTCTTCGACGCCCTCTGAACATATAGGTGTCAATCGGGCGGGTTCGGGCGGGGTTCAATCGGGTTCGGGTTCAAACGGGTTCCGGGTTAGTCGGGTTGCGGGTTCATCGGGTTCGGGTTCATCGGGTTCGGGTTCAAACGAGTTGCGGGTTAGTTGGGTTGCGGGTTCATCGGGTTCGGGTTCAATCGGGTTGCGGGCAAATCGGGTTGCAGGTTCATCGGGTTTTGGGTCGGGCGGGTTGCGGGCGGATCGGGTTTCGGGTTGTTCGGGCGCATCAAGTAACTTAACTCATTACTCATTACCAACTTACACATTTTATTACACTAATTTAAAATATTTTCTCAACTTTTTAACCAATTTATTTCTACCTCGTATATATATACTTTATTTTTTTGAAAAAAACTAGTCAAAATGTTAAATCAATTTGTATGACTTGCAAACTTGTTATGTAATTAATCATAATTGGTAAAGTATTATAGCTAATATTAATGGTGATATCAATATTTGCAACCAAAAGACAACATTAATTGTTTATTTGATATTTTAGTATTAATTCAGTAGTAATTGGATTAAAGTATCTCGTTTAGTATAACCATGCAAATCTGGTATTTGGTGTGTGGTATTTGGCAAAAGCATAGTGATAAAAGGAGTTATTTCGAAATAACTCATTGCCCAAATAACTTCAGTAAACTGTTGCCAAACGAGTTATTTGTAAAATTGTTCGAATTATCCTAAAAATTGAACCATTAAAGATTAGCTATCAAATTTAGTAAAATTATTGTTACTTCAATCATAACTTATTCAATAGCATATATCCTATACACTTGGCCTTACCCTCAATCAACAATATTAAGTTAGTATATGTTGTTGATTGTATACCCTAAACCATCAATACATTATACACTAACCACATAACCTATACCCTATACCCTAACCATATGTCTTTGAGTTGTGATTTTCCTAGTATAGTTAATTTAAAAGTGAAATTCATACTTTGATGTTCAAAACATAGATAAAAAGTGATATTTGCTAATTGTTATACCCTAACCATATATCTTATACTTTACACCACATACCTTTTACCCTAACCACGTACCCTAAACATAAATTAAAAAGGAATCTCCTGCCGTTAAAGACTTCAAATGACTTCAAGTGAACATATGTTAATAAAAAACTTAGAACCGTCAAAACCATCAATATCTTATACCCTAACCATATGTACCTTATACCCTATACCCTAACCATATACTTTATATCCTAAACAACGAACCGTCAAAGATTACTTATCAAGTTTAGTATAAATTATTGTAACTAATGGTTAATTTATTTATTAGCCCATAAATAATTACATACATATATATATTAGCCTTCAAAGCATATAATAATAATTTTAACTAGTCATGCCCTCCATATAAAAGTTAAAGATTCATATTTCAAAAGCTAAAATTATGACAAATCAAAAAATTGAAAACACCAAATTTGTTTCCTTCTTTGTTTTCACAAAAATACTAAAATTTTCCTCCTTCTTTCTACTTCCATACATTAGAAAACTCAATTTTCCCTCCTCTTTCTCTTCCATAAAATTGAAAGAACCAAATTACACTCTTCTTTCCTTCTACAAAAAGTTGAAAACTCAAAAGTTTCCCTCTTTATTTCTCTTTCTTAATCAAAAGAATCAAATTTTCTCACTTCTTTCTCTTCCCACATATCAAAACCACCAAAATTCCCACTTGTTTCTTTTCTAAAAAATTCAAAGAATCAAATTTCTCTCTTCTTTCTCTTCCCAAAAACTTGAATAAAACAAAATTTCCCTCTTCATTTAAAAACATCAAATTACCAAATACATTACTTTACTTTATTTATATTTAATTGATAATTTTATTGAATAGTTAAATTAACCAAAATTTTAATTTATATATTATATTAATATTGTCATGATCTCAAGTGACCTTCATGTTTCAATTTTTGTAATTTTCTTAAAATACGTAATATCAAGTGAGTTTCATATTTTTTAAATTTCCTATACGAAATGAAAAAATAATTTTACTTAAGTTTAGAATAAAAATCTTTATTTTGAAAAACTATGTATTGTATATTTTTATAATTATTCAATTGGATTAGATGAAATTCGGGTTGAGTCGGTCGGGTTACGGGTTAGTCAGGTTCGGGTCAATCGGGTTCGGGTTAATCGGGTTCGGGTTAATCGGGTTGTGGGTCAGTCGGGTTGCGGGTTAGTTGGGTTGCGGGTCGGGCGGGTTAAGGGTTGTTGACTTTTAGTCAATTCGGGTTGCGGTCGGGTTGCGGGTCGGATTGATCGGGCGGGTTAATCGGGTCGGGCTATGTTTTGACACCTATCGGTCGATTTAGTTTAACTGAAAAACGATTGGTCGGTTATCGATTAGTCGAACCACCTCCCAGCACCTGCCGACAACCGACCGAAGGGGGATGCACGGTTAACCGACCGGTCGGTTATCAGTTTCAGATTAGTTAGTTGTGCAACCGAAATCTGGCTGGTAGGGTCGGTTTTAACCGAGCAACCGACCCGATAACAGTCTCACTTGTATAAAAAGTCAGTAAAATCACCTAAAATTAAAGGCTCAAACCTACATTTCTACATCTAAATCATCCAAAGTAAAGTCTCAATCCCTTTTGCATCGAAAATACATCTAAATCACCAAATTAATGTCTCAAATTCAACATCATAAAGTCATAAACGAGGTCATATGGGAGTGGTTGCAACCTCGGTCGGTTAGTTTCGGTTAGCCAGTTAATTGACTTCGTACTCGGCTAACTAGAGCAACCATTCCCTTCGCCGGTAACCGACCGAGCATGCTAGCAGTCATTTTTCGGTTAGTCGCTAATCGATGTTTATCGGTTAAACCGGTTGGTTAGCCGCTAATCGATGTTATCGGTTAAACTGGTTGGCTAGGCAACAACCGATCGGCCACCCCCCACTCGCTAGCCGCTAGCCGGTTCCACCTCGGTTCCCTTAGGTTTCGGTTTCAGTACTAGGTTCCACCGAAACCCGAAACACTGCCACATTAGGACCCGGACCAGATTTTTCCGTTGATGCGTCGGTTCTCGATTCCCTGACACTTTCGGTTTTGGTTTACACGGAACACCGAACATGAACTTCCACTCCTAGGTAGTATCCAACCCGTAGTGGCGTGGGGCGAGGCATGGGTATCTACTTCCGACCCACTCCGCCCCGCCCCTCATCGTTCTAGGCCCATTATGTCTCAATTTCTTATCGTATCTATTCATATTTATCTTATTTTGACTTTTCTTTAATTGGTCAGACTTGATCTTTCAACTAGTTAGACTCAATTACCCATTCTATTATCACTATTTTCATTCATAAAGTGTTTATCACTTCATTTTATCCTAAGAAATAAAACTTTACATATATTTTCTTTTCAAATAATTTGTAAAAGTGGATCGACTTGCCCCATCCATATTCCCCGCCTCACAGTAAAATGAAGCGGGACATGAATATTGAAGTACCCACTCCAAAGTCTAACCCACCCATTGCCCCCTGATTCAAGAGCGCCTAGATTTTTTATTAGCCCAATTTTAAGGTGACTTCGTAGACGGCCCATCGGTAGTTGGGCCCCCAATTTGCCAAAATAGAAAACGAGCGATCAATTCACTGGAGAACCCTAAAAATAATTTTCATTTTCCAATAGTTTCCGCATCCTCAGCGCTCCCAACTTCCCTGAGAAAATTACACAGGAAAACGAAGGTAATAATTCTTTTTTCTTTCCTCTTCGCTTTCCGGGAAAAATCCACGAAAACGATTCCAATATACTTCGCCGCCGCCTCTGTTGAACATCCTGCTTCTACCTTTCTTGGCTTGTTTGTTTCTCGGGATAACTCAATTTCCGTCGTAGAAGTAATCAATTCAATTCAGCGTCGTCTTCGTTTTCTCTTTTCCGCGATTTCAATTTTTTTTTTCTGATTCTTTCATTTCTTCATTGTTCGCGATAATTCTAGGGTTTGATTGATGGCGGATACTGAGACTAATGGTGTCGCTACGAACGAGAAGGATCGGGAGGTGGAGATCTTCTCGAGCCCCGACCACCGTGGCGACGGAGACGGCGAAGCCAAGTTGAAGCAGAAGACCGAAGCGCTGGTTCAGGAGAACGATGAATTGAAGGACCAGGTCTCGCAGTTGAAATCCGAGATGGAATCACTGAAATGGGAGGGATCGGAGATGATGCAGAGGCTGGAAGAGATGGAGAGCGAGCTCGAGGAGGCGGAAGAGAACAAGAAAACGCTGGATTCGATAGCTTCTCGGGCTGGGGAGCTCGAGATCGAGGTCTCGAGGCTCCAGCACGATCTGATTACCTCGATGAGCCAAGGTGATGATTACGCTACCGAGGTTGCTAATCTGAAGAAGGTGCTGGGAGACATGGAGGTGAAACTGGAGGAGGCAAAGAAACAGAAGGCAGAGAACGAGAAGAGAGTGAGGGAACTGGAGAGGAAAGTTGGGGTTCTTGAAGTGAAGGAAACTGAGGAGAAGAGTAAGAAGATCAGGTTGGAAGAGGAGACCAGGGAGAGACTTGGCGAGAAGGAGAAGGAGCTGGTGAAGTACAAGAAACGAGTCGAAGAGTTGGAGAATGAGCTGGCCAAGAAGGCCGAACTGGAAGAGAAGCTCAGGGTTTCAGAGAACAGGGCTAGGGAAGTTGAAATGAAGATGGTGGAGTTGCAGAAGGAGGCTGAAGATGCCGAGAAAGCGATTGTAGCTCTGAAACAGAAGGCTGTCGAAAGTGTGAATCGGTTCGAGACAGAAGACAGAGAGGATCAAGATGAGTTTGAGCAGTGGCCAGCTACCGCGGTGGTGATTGGATCGACAGGTGCTATTGTTGTTGGTGCAGCTGCTGTGGCCTATTTCATCTACGCAAGGAGGCAGTGATAATCGATTTTCTTTGAGGTTAGGTTTATGGCATCTCTGTCGATTCAAGCTACCACTGAAATGGGTAGAAAGAGCTAGCTTTCCAGTTTTGTGCCTTGATTTTTGGTTTATATGAGCTTGTTAGTATATTGTGGGTTGCATGGTTACAGTAGTTTGGTGTTTGCACTGTGAAGGGTTTTTCTGGTCACAATCTTTAGCTGAATTGTTTTCCTGTTCCTGTTGGGAGAATCGCAAAGATTTTTCGCAAAGATTTTCCTATCTAGTTGGAAGAACCAAGATTCTACGGTTTGTTTGCTGCCCGTGCAGGTTATCTTTGACATTCCTGTATTAGAAGATAGTTGATATTGTGAAGTATTATCTTCTGGATAGTATCCCAGTGTTTCACCATTTTTCTTGGCTTGGCTGCTGTGCTTGGGACTTGGGAGGAACCAAATAATGCATTTGCTCCATTGCCTTCTGTTCTTAGTGTTCTTTTTCTTCTTTCTTTCTTAATTGGAATGTTCACTTGTGTAAGTTCTGAAGTTGAAGGATCATTGCATAAGTTTGATGTTCTAAAGAGTTGAATCATGGATGAGTCCTTGTTGTTAGTAATGGATGTACTAGAAACGAATGTGGTACTAATGAAACTCTGTAGCTTGAGGTATTGCACATTTCTTGTTATGGGAGCAACTTCCATGACAGTTAGTACAGGACGTTTTGTTTTTGTACTCCAGTTCGTCCTCTTTGTCTATCTTCTTTCCTTGAAATTCCTTTCATCATGGCCTTTGTGCCCCAACTTCTGTGCAGTGCAGTTGCAAACGGAAGGACTCTACCATCAATCCATTTCCTCTGTATATTTCTTCTTTTGCTTTCATGGCTGGTAGTAGTCTCATGGAAGACATGAGACGAGGCATAGAACTCGGTTCTCATTGAAAACCGGCCTCGACCCCTCCTCCTGACTCACGAATTCCAAACGGAACGAAACCAGAAGTCCCCTCACTGATCTCAATCTCTCCATTGCTGTCCTTCGTTTCTTCAATTTTTTGCAGAGTTCTAGTTCACGGCTGGAGCTATGGCTAGATCAGTGGTGGTGTGGCAGCAGAGCTTCTCCCTCAAGTAGTTCTGTTTTGCCTCAGAGAAGCCTGGTAAAAGTTGTATGACAACCGTTGTCATACGGGTTTCAAATGATCTTCTCAATCTACAGGAGTGATTGAATTCATTCAATCGAGTATAACGATATGACAGATGGGTACAAATAGATTAAACATCCTCATAAGCCATTTTTCATCTGAATTTTTGAGATATTGTAAGATCTGGTTAAGTTCAGCTCTAATTATAGTGTCACCTCCAACCTTGATCATGAAGACCTTCATGAATTGGTCAACTGACGAGCAAAATAATTTTGGTCACACTGATTAGACCTCTCTCACAGCTATAGGGATCATTTGGAGAATGAGATTTAGAACATGGATTCCACATATTTAGCAAACTTCATTTTTTGCTAAATTTTAACTAAAGAAAGGCATTGGCAAAACCAAAAATCCTTAATTATTAAGTATTAATTAACTAAAGAAAGACATCACACAACTGGGGAGCGTGATCGTGGGAAGAGCAATTAACCGTGAGCTATCTTCGACGACTTTCATTATATATAGATAGCTCTATAACTTGCACGTGGGAAGAGCAATTAACCGTGAGCTATCTTCGACGACTTTCATTATATATAGATAGCTCTATAACTTGCACGCATTTGAGGTAATTATGAGTGTAAATTAAATAAGATCGATCGACAGCTGGTAGGGGACAAACGTATAGGCCAAACCATGCCATATATACACATGTATAATTCAGTTGCAGCTCTAAAATATAGGCATATCAAATTTCTCATAAATGTACAGATTTTATATATGGATTTATGTGGCTATTTTTTGATTGAATGCCAAAAATTACATGCAGCTTCCAACACATCAAACTTACAAAAAATGTGTTCAACAATCAGTGTGAATTGTTTAGAATCCTAGAGTTCTAGACTATAATTCTCTTGCATGTGTATCATATTTTAGAATTTGTGTTTTTGTTAGCAAATAATTTATCGTATTAGTTATGGTATAGTAGTTTAACATCTATCGTGTATTCACTAATAAATTTGAAGGGTCAAAATTATTGAAAGATCGAATCTATATGATGGTAAAGTCAGAATCCTGTGTGAACTAAATGTGTCACACTCTCTTAGTGTGATGAATTGAAGATCACAACACTATTGGGGTGTTACATGGAAATTTCCTTTTTGTCCTCTAGGGAACGAGAGTAATGTATACTCCTCAAGTGGAACGGTTAATATAATAACTAATAAGGAAGCTAAGGAATTTAATTGGTCAAATGTTTCAACAAATATTTTCCCCTTCCCTGCATTGCATTGAACACCGCCAGTTGAATAGTGTCCTTTTAGGCTTCATGCATGAATAACATGAAAAGTCAATAATCAACTAACATTACTATTCGACCATATTGCCATATTTTATTGGCATCTCGTCAACTGCTTAGTATTCCAGTTCATTTCTTTTGTTAGAATGGTGTATGCTAACTATTTATAAGGGTTACTATCACCGTATAATCAATTTTGGCTCATGTTTCATAAATTAATATCTTGGTCTTAACTATGCAACATACAGACTCAATTGGCCCGACACATGGTTTGACCGTCAATTTGGACGGTCAACACGCCATGTCATTGCCACGTCAGCTTAAAAATCATTACAAAATTCAAATTCAAATTATTTCTAATTTATATTATTTATCATTATCAAATTAACCAAAAAAATTTAAAAAATTTAGAATAATTTGAAAATTTTTTGGTTAATTTGAAAATGATAAATAATAGAAATTAGGAAAATAATTTAAAATGAATTAAAATTTTAAAATAATTAAATTTTTGGCTAATTTGGAAATGATTAATAATATAAATTAGAAAAATAATTTGAATTTCAATTTTTTAATAATTTTTAGGCTGACGAGGCAATGACATGGCGTGTTGACCGTCCAAATTGACGGTCAAACCATGTGTCTGGCCAATTGAGTCTGTATGCTGCATAGTTGAGACCTGGATGTTAATTTCTGAAGTCACTGACCAAAGTTGATTATATGGTTATAGTTCGGGCCAAAATAAGGTATTAGCCCTTATTATAATAATGTGTATTACTTTAAATCTGTAAAGTGATGAGAGAGGCTTATTACTTTTACAAATATGACGAAAATAAAAAAGATCCCCTGCTTTTTTTTATATAGAAGTAGGGGTGGGCAAACGGTTCAGTAAACCCGAACCGAACCGAAACCGAAACCGAATTAATGTTATTCGGTTCGGAATTCGGAAGGAAAATATGGATAGTTCGGAAACCAGGGTTCTCTCAACTGAACCGAATTTCCGACCGAAAAACCGAAAAACTATAATTGCAAGCTCCAAATTGTGGATTTTTATGTTTGTAGTTGTTTTTAGACTTAAATATTTGAAATATTTTATGACTTATGTGTTAAAAAGTTTGATTTTATCATTGATGATGCATATAATTGATATTTATTGTTTATATTAGGGGTGAAAAATAATTTAAATGTGAGAAAATACAAGTAACTTCACAAATTCGGTTTTGGATGAAAAACCGAACCGAATTATAATTCGGTTCGAATTCGGTTTGAGGTTTGGGAGAATTTGGGGACCCGGTATTCATAATTTTGGTTCGATCGAAACCGAACCGACCGAATGTCCACCCCTATATAGAAGGGTGATAATAGGTTTACTTGGTTTTGTGATTAAAATACTGTATAAGAGATTTCCCTGTTTAAAATCCTAGTAATGAAATTTCTTCTCCCACTTCACATCGCGAACGTTGAAGCTTGAAGCGCACCATTTTTAGAGAGAGAGGAACGAACTCTTCTTAATTCGAAATGGGTGGGAAAATGTTATACAATATGCTCGATTAAAAGAAGAAATTAGAAGTCACTCGGCTGATCAGGAGAGGAAGATAAAGGAAAGCTCGAAGGGTAGTTAGCTGGAAGGGTTATAGGTATAATATGCCCTTCTACTATGACGTTTTATCAAACATGCCCCTCTACTATTTTTTACACCAAACATGCCTCTGTACTTTGTAAAAATGATCAAACATGCCCTTTTGTTAAAATTTTCATCCAAAAACCGTTAACCAACGCCGAACTTTAGTTTGGGCGACACAAATAACTAAAATATCCCTAATAAATTCACTTTAGAAATTTTTTGGTTCTTTTTTATAATCAAATCATTCAAATAATTTCACTTTGAAAATACCCAAGGAAATAAAACAGGGGACAAAACTGACATTTTCCCTCCCATTTGCCGATGTCGGGTCGTCTAAATCTCAATTCAACCATGATTGACGATTTTTTCAATGAAAATTTTAACAGAAGGGCATGTTTGATAATTTTTTCGATGTACAGGGGCATATTTGATGTAAAAAATAGTAGAGGGACATGTTTGATAAAACGTCATAATAGAAGAGAATATTATACCTAAAACCCTAGCTGGAACGAGGGCAACTCGACTCTAAAGAAGAGGAGCAGAAACAACCGATGACTAAGATGCTATAACTCTTGCCTTGCTCGGAATTCTGGGAAAACTTGCAGTTGAGAACTCTTCCCCTCCTACTTGGAGAGTAGACACCTGCTCGGATATATATAGTGATACTATATATGCATAAATCAATTGTTAATGTTGGAGATAGTTATAGAAACGGTAAATACAATATATTAGCCACAACTATTATGAAGCGGGGAATTATAGCCACAACTATGAAAATTCAAATTATTAGCCATAATTATTGTTGCGGGTCAAGATATGGCTAACTGTTCGTTATTGTTATTGTTATTGAATTTTTAATGGAGAAGGCCACGTCATCGACCACGACAGCAGCCACGTCGGATTGCTTTTAATTTATAACTTTGAAACTAAACTTCGGGTCAAGATATGGCTAACTGTTCGTTATTGTTATTGTTATTGAATTTTTAATGGAGAAGGCCACGTCATCGACCACGACAGCAGCCACGTCGGATTGCTTTTAATTTATAACTTTGAAACATAAAAGTTTAGTCAGTATTACGAACAAAACTTTTAACATGTAGTTAATGTTTGACTAATAATTTGAATTTTCATAATTGTGGTTATAATTCTCCGCTTCATAATAGTTATGGCTAATATATTGTATTTACCCTTATAAAAACACGAAGATGAATTTCTAGTAGATAATTATGATAATCAAGCCGAAATGATATCAACAACCAAATTATCCCCTTCAAAAAAAAAAAAACCCAAATTATTAGAAGCCATTTAAAAATGGACCCATATCATTCTCGTTGCATATTGCACCTCATAGGAGTAAGTCAGTAAACGTTTGTCATGATTTCTTGCCATAACAAAGATAATTAGAAAGCAGGGGATAATTTACATCGGCCGTCAATGGAGAACGTAACAATGGGTCATCATGGTCATGTTAATAAAAAATTGATTCCATTTTCTGTTGTCTTTAATCTCTTAATTATATTATATTAGTGGATGGGTGGGATGTAGGGGTGAAAGCTTGTCCCTGAAGACCCATTGACCTGTCCCGACCCGTCCCGTCCTTAAGGGTCGGGACGGGTCAGTTTGTCTACAAGGACAGATTAGGGACGGGTCATTTATTGACCCTGTAAGGGCCGGGACGGGTCGGGACAACTTAGGGACGGGTCACGTTTTGACCCTGTGACCCTTAGCAACAACAAATATCTCATACTTTATTGGACCTTTTTGTAAAGTTTTAAAAGTATAGGTACTAATTTGTAAAAATAAAAAAATTTGGGTACCAAAATGTAATTTTACCATCAAAATTTATGGACTTATTTGTAAAAAAATAAAATTTAGGTACTAAATTGTAAGAAAAAATAATTTTGGGTACCAAAACGTAATTTGTATAAAAGTAGTGTGTTGATTAGGGTCGACCCACTGACCCGGCCCGTCCCGTCCCGTCCCAACCCTTGAGGGTCAGACAGGATCAAGAAGGAGACAGGGACGCGACAGGACGGTTATACATCTTGACCCTTCAGGGACGGGTCAGACAGGGACAGGGGCGGGACAGGCAAATTTTCAGCCCTAGTGGGATGA